CCACCACCGATCTTGGGGCCCATGACCGCCTTCAGCTGCGCCAGGATGCGGTGGGAGGCCAGTCGCACCTCAGCCTCTACCTGCCGGCCGGGGCGCTGCCCGGAGGGGAAAGTGGGGGGGAAAACGGGGGGAAGGGTTAGAAAGGTGGGTGATGGGGCTCGAGGGAAGGGAGGGAGTGCAGCAAAATGTCGGCGGGAGGCAGTGAGGATGTACGGGCCATGACAAACGGGAGATAACGGCCAAGTGGTGGTTTTGAACACAGCCACTTGCGGAGGCGGGAATGCGGTGAGGTGCGGGGCGAGTGAGGGGGCCAACCTCGCGGATGGGGTCCAGATATGAAAAGGAACAAAGGACAACTTGACCGAACGTCGTACACTGTCGTACCCACATGCATAAGCACCAAGGTGAGGCAAGCTGCTGCTCGAGAGGCCACCTCCAGTCCGGGAAGTAAAATCCACCGCAGTCCTGACCGGTTGGTGGCTAGGTCGGCGGCGGTGGGAAGTGCCGGCGGCGGTGACGACTGCGACAGCGGCGCCGCCGCCGCTGGATTGCCGCCACCTACATTTGTCCCAGCCCCGCCGCCACCATCGCCGTCGCCTGCTGCCGCGGCGGCGGCGGCGGCTTCGGCACCGCCGTCGGCCGTCGAAGCGGCACGGTCGGCACCCTGACTCTGCATTCAGGCCATGTGCGGTACATACATGTCGTACACCTGCCGTACTTCCATTGAACGGCTTTCCGTAAAAGTAACCAGCATACAGCCGAATAGAGAACTGTTTGAGTGATGCACTGCTAGGAGTCAGAAATCGTTTGCGCCCTCCCCCTCCATCCCCCTCCCCCCCTTTCCATCACCCTCCATCACCCTCCCCCCCCCTCCATCACCCTCCATCCCCCTCCATCACCCACTCACCAGCGACAGCCGGAGTGTCCGCGAGCTCGCATGCTGATGTGACGAGGGTAGCGACCCCAGTGAGCCCATCACCGGGTTCCCCGAGGGGGTGGAGGAGAGACCCCCCCCCGCTGCTGAGGCGGCGGAGTGCAGCCCCGGGATGACGAGGGGCAGCTGCACGCGGGCCTGCAGGGAGGTGCTGCCATGACTGCCCAGGGAGCGGTGGCTGTAGCAGCAGTAGCAGCAGTACAGGTGGAGTAGCAGTAGTCGCAGTAGTCGCAGTAGAAGAGGGCAGATGGAGGACGGGAAAGTGTCCGGAATGGAAAGGAGAGGAGCAATCTGTGGATCACCGGGTAGGGCACATCACCCCCCTTCCCCCCTCCCCCTCCCCTCCCCCCCTTCCCCCCTCCCCCAGGGGGGAAACACGGACGATGCGAAGAGCTGGAAGCAGCGGGGAAGCTCTTCGAAGAAGGAACGCGGGAAAGAAGACACAATACACGCACACATAACCGCACCGTGTACACCTTCCCCCCTCCTCCCCGCCACCCACCTGGTCCTCGCGGAGCTCCACCCACTGGCGCCACCGCCACCGCCACCTCCGGCAGCAGCAGTCGCTCCCGCTGTCCGGGGGCTGCTGGCGGTGGGGCTCAGGTCGGCCCAGCTGAGGCCCTTGGGGCTGCGGAGCCTGCGGAGGGGGGTGAGGGGTGAGGGGGGGGAGGGGGGGGCGGTCACCAGCGGCCAACAGAACACCGAGGAGAAGGGGTAGAGGGGGACAGAGCCTGAATTCCCGTGCGTGTATCAGGCGGCGGGTTTGGGCCCCCAACCCCCCGGGGGCCCCGGCCACGCAGCACTCACTCGGAGCTGGTGCGGCTGATACCGTCCGCGTCAAGCCCGGGATCCGTCGCCGCAGCCGTCACCGTCGCCGCCGCCAGTCCCTCCCCATCGCTATCACGGCCACCTGCGCCATCACCACCAGTGCCGCCGCCGCCGCCGCCGTTGCCGCCAGCTGCATCCTCACCTGCCTCATTACCTAACCCCCCGTCGCTGTACTCGGCGTCCTCGTCAGCTTGAGGAGTACGACGCCACGCCGCGGCGGCGGCCGCTGCCGCGGACAGCTGCGGCGGTTCCGGAGCCCTCGGTGCCTCCCCCTCATCCTCCTCTTCTTGAATGGTCGTCGTTCTGTTCTCCAGCGCCACCTTGGGCGGGGGTCCCATCACGTCCACCAGGACGTCAATACCGCCTGCGGTTGGTTGGCGGTTGGTTGGCGGTTGGCCACGTAGGTGAATTGATGACCCTCATGGTGCGTGGGTGGTTGGGTCGTTGGGGGGGGAAGAGGGTACGTTCATAGGCAGCTGCCGCGAGCAGGAACAAACACAGTGATAGGAAGTTGGTGGTTGGGCTGGCGGTTATCCGTAAGTTACCGTTGCGCGTTGAACCTTGTACGATAACATCCGTACTGCTCATCCCACAAACCAGTCCCGCATGTTGGTGGTGTTGATGATGATAACAATGTTATTTATGCGATATGTTCTCATTTAACAGGACTGCGAGCAACTGGGCGGACAGACAGACAGACAGACAGACAGACAGACAGACAGACGGACAAACAGGCACATTCCCCCGCTAGATCTCCCTCCCCTCCCCGACAGCCGCACCGCAGCAGATGAACAGCTCCTGAGCCGCCTCCACTGCCAGTAGCCTCATCAGGCAATGCAGCGCCGCTCCCACGGCTGCCTCCGACTTGTGGCTCCGGACCAGGTCCATCAGCGCGTCCACACCGCCCGCACTCACCACCGAGGGGGCCAACTCGGGGCGCTGAGGCGGCAGTCAAAGGCGGCAATATGCAGAGTGGGAATTGCAGCAGAAATGTGGGCAGTAGTGGAGCGGGTGGAGCGGTAGCAGCAATAGTAACAGCAGCAGCAGCGAAAGCAGCAGCAGCAGCAGTAGCAGCAACGGCAGCGGCAGTAGCAGCAGCAGCAGGAGTGGGCCAGCAGGACATACGGAGGAGTAGCAGCACGAGCGAGTGAACCGCCGCGAACACTTCAGAAAGGGTTGTGGTTATGGTGGGGTTGTATGAACGTGTGGGTTCCTGGCCTAGGGTTCCTGGCCTAGTGGTGCTGCGGGGACAGTGAGCAAGTGATGTAGTGGGTGCGGGAAGGTGGAAGGAGTGAGTGAGGGGGGGAGGGAGGGGCCGCAACTGCGAGGGGTTTACCAGGAGCACATGTACATACATACATATATACATACATACATACGGCCCACAGTGTAATCTAAGTCATACGTACATATGCATAGAGATAAGATTTAAGAGCTCCACATAGATACGCACAAGCTTAAAACAGGCACACAGAAATGCAGACATACAAACATACATACATACATACAAACTCACACACGCACCTGTTCCAGCAGCAGCTGCAGCATCTCCACGAGCGCCGCCACCGAGACGGCGTCACGGTGCTCCTTGACGGCCCAAACAGTCAGGTAGGTCGGTAAGTACGGCAGCTGGTTGTCCATGGCGCGGAGTACGGATGGGGCCACCTGTACGACATTGCAGTACCATACATTTTGGCCTTCGTGAAGTCAAAAAACTAGAAAAATTCATAAAAACAACCCCAACGAGCCCCTCCCCTCAGATTTGCTAAACAAAAGATCGAAAACAAAACGCGACCAAAGACTGCCCCGTGGTTCCGGGGAGGCGTAATCTGGTCTGTCCTCAGCAACACGCCAACGACCTCTACTTTTCAATTTAACTTGACTTGAAATACGAGACGCAAAGTGCGAACGAAGGCCGTCCGTTAAGCTAACGGACGAAAGGCCCTGGTAAAATTTCAAATGCAGGAGTTATTCTCGGCGCCTTAATCCATCATTACCAGCACACATTCCCATGTCGGCTCCATCCTCAACACACGACCTGTCGGGCCAGCGACTGCAGAAGACGGCTGCAGTACTGTCGGGCCAGCGCCGCGTCGTCGTACACTACGGCATGCAGTACCTCCAGAGACGTACGGCCGGAGGGGCTCCGTACTTTGAGCAGCTGCTCCGCAACTTCCTCGTCGTCACAGGCCAGGGCCAGTAAGATACCTGTCGGCTCCGGAACCAACGTGCGTAAATTTGAGAAACCAGATTCAGCTACAGGATCGCAGGAGAGGACCGCGGTTGGGCACGAAGAAGGGGGGTCGTACGGCAGTCCGTGAGGACGTGTATTATATTATGTATCCCCACAAGGGAAACCAACACCGTACCGAAACGCGACCGAGGGTGTTAAGTCCACGCGACGATAATAGGCGGGGCCCCACAGAGAAGAGGGAGAGCGAACAGCAGCACGCATTTCTTCTAAAACCGCATCCGTTTCTTTGCTGACCCCTTAACGCTCCTGAACACAGCCTGGATGCCAATCGTAAAAATTATCCCACTCCACTCCACTCCACTCCACCCCACTCGAGCCCACGCCTTACCTGCGCTGCACGCCTTATCCGCCAGCAGCACCTCAGTGCTATCCAGGTTGGCGACACACGCAGTCAGGAGCCCCGCGGACACCAGCCCCGAGGGGTCGTCACCCCCCAGGGCATGGTGCCACAGGAGGAACCCAGCCTCTTGCTGGCGGCGGGGGGAGGTACGGGGACGGCAGGTGAGGTGAGGGTTGGAGGAGGTGTGCGGTTTGGGGACATGGCGGATTGGGACTGAGATGAAGAGTGTGGTGTGAAGAGTAAGGTGCAGCAGGCGGTGCGGAATTGCGGAGCCTGTGTAGAGACGGCTGCATGATGGTGGCAAAGGGAAGGCAAAGCTGGGGCATATCGGACGACGGAATCTCTAGATTGAGCAGCAGCCGTGGTCTGGTCCTAGCAGGTGGGAAAATAGGGGAAGCAGGGGCAAGGCGAGTCGGAACAGATGAGAGGAAGTTTGAGTTCCCTTACCCGCGTGTGTGGATTTCCTGGTTCGGGAGACCTCTGCAAGGAAGGGAGGGGATGAAGAGGGGCCCGCCAGGGGCAGGTGCGGTGTCAAGGGCGTCGAAGGCAAAAAGCAGTACAGTCTTGCGAAAGCGCTGAGCGACGCAGACGCACCAAGCACTTGACGAGCGTGGGAAAGTCGTCCTTGAACGGGCTTGTGCATGTTTCGTAATAGACGGACTTCTTCCTGCGCTCCTCGTCGGAGATGGCTGCTACTGCTGTTGCCGACATAAGTTTGACCGTAGAGATCAGATTGATTGCATGTTATGTGTAAATAAATAGAAAGACGTTATGTATGGCAACATGTATTGCTCTTGCCAAAGCCGTGAAGACTACTAGGGTCGAGCGTCCTGACGGGTTGATTATAGTTAAGTAAAATGGATTAGTTAGGTAAAAAATTCTCTGCCTGATTCGTAACGCACGCCTTTCGGTAAGTCTTCAGAATGTAGCCACCTTCGAATTGTGATTATAGGAAAACGACGGCTAAAGTAAAATCGCCCTTAATAGCTTTTCGGCTGCGATACACGTCAACAGCAAAAGCATCTAACCATTGCAGAAGATTGAATGTCCTTTCGTCCAACCGACTTGCCGTCCAGCAAACGGATTTGGGTTATACGGTTTGCCAGCTAGACCTTAACTAGTTAACGCGAACAGCAATTGCCGTAAGATGGTAGATGATCCTACTATATGACGGGCAAGGACCTGCCACTACCTGGTACTTGAAGTTGCGCTGCGGACGGCTTCTTCCGGAGGGCCTCGACATGCCATAGGTCTCGACAACTAATGCTGTTGCGCGACTGCATTACGCGTCGTGCACCCCCGCAGCCTTATGCTTTGCCCAAGCCACTTACAATTCGTATTCTTTCTGTTCCTTAGCACAAGAGACCCTGCATGTGGGCTAGGCAGCTATCCAGGGGAGGCGGTCAACCGGGGGGGGTGGCCTTCAAACCACCGGAAGCCCAGCAGCCTCCGTTAGTCGCAGCAATTCAGTGGTACAGCGACAGCGGCTGACGGGTAAGTCCCCTAAGGACAAAGGCCGACTCAACAATTTTCCTGGCGCAGCTTGCCTTCCAAGGCTCGCCCTGACTCTCCTAAACCCAGGCGGTCGATCCCCCTACCTCCACTCCCTGTGCAAGGGGAAAAGTAGGAATGGAGCTCTTTAAAAATCCGTCGCTTGTTCTATACCTATTCCTGTTCCCAGGTTTTTCCGATTTCCCGTTCTTTCACCGGCCGGGCGTTCTTCCACCGGCCTCACAGGCCGGTCGGGCCAGCTGCGGGGCAACGAAGCGCACCCGGCGAACGTTCCGCAGCGCCAGGAAGCACCAACACCTCGCACGACCTCATCACGGGGCTCAGAAAGAAGATTTTTTTGCAATCATCCGTTCCTACATTTTTCACTTCTTGCATGGAGAGATGAGGTGGGGCCAACGCGCAAGTCAATCTAAGATCTGGTTTTCCTGAGCTTCCACAGGATAACAAATGAACGAGGGTTGAGCTGTGGACGCTGTTTCTGGGGGAAGGGATGGGCAGGGGGCCCCGCCCTGACCTGCGCACTTGCGAGGGGAGGGAAATACACAGCGTGCATCTCTTTACAGCGAATGACGTCAATGACAGCCGCCACACATCAATGCGAAGGCGAGCTAAATGCGTATGTGAATGTGGATGTGGATTTAAAAGTGTGGTTGCACCAGCACTGGCCCGGAGCAACATTAACCAAGGTAACTGCATCCACGCATCCATCCACATCTCACCACAGCACCCCCCCGTGTATACGTGCGGTGTGCCTTGCCACCCGGCCAAGCCGCCCCGCTCATAAAGAGCCATGCAGCTCTAGCTGCAGCTGCGGCCGACGCCGCCATGCACACGCCACCAACCGCAAACACAAAACCCTGTGTGTATGTATGTGCGTATGTATGCCTGTATTCCGGCGGCCACTTTAATGACACAACGGAGTCAGCGGGTTTCCCGTCATAAGACCAAGCAATCCCTCTTTAAAAGGGCACCGTCGTGATCCGCATGCCGTACTGCCTATCGGCAGGTTCTCCGCATGCAGCACATGCAGTTAAAGTACCGCAGCCAGGTTGTTTAGTAACGCCGGGTGGGGCGCCCAGCCCCGCTTCTTTCCCCAGTGGGCGACAACAGCGCTCCTCACGCTTTCCAGACATGACGTACGGCTCCGAAACCCACTTGCGACTGAGGACCCAGCCGCCTGTCCGCGAACCTAACCAGCGCACACCGAACCACCCAACCGACTGCCTTCACAGCGGACCCGGCCGTGACAAAACCCGTAACGACAAAACCCCAAATTCCTCAACCCCATGCCCACCCCACTTCTCTTCCTCAGGCGTGTCAAGAGGTTCCCCTTCCGCCGACGCTGCCTCCGCGCCCCGTTCCCATCCCCCGCCTCGTCAAGGAGCCAACCATGCAGGAACCGTTTCTTGTGGGTGTTCAGGACTCCCTCCAGGCCCCCAATCTTCCCATTCCCCGAATCGCGGCATACGCCCTACAACCCCTACATCGTCCACTTCTCACCACCCAGGTATTCCACCCTTCGCGTCACCACACCGCCGCCATTATTGTCACCAGTAATCCACCCCACACACACATTCGAGGGGGATTACGCGCCTGCCGCTGCCTTCACCGCCGAGAACTCCATCACCAGCCTGTTCAGAGCGGGTGCTTGCACCCCGACAACCACCTCGAGCTGCTTGCCGTCCTGTGCAAAAGTGTAGCGGGAGGTCAGAAAAGGCGCGATTGGGTTAATGCGAGGCAGCTGCAACCCGGGTGCGGCGGCCGGGTGAGGAGGTAGGGGAGGACGAATCACGAGCGAGTGAAGGTGATACCAAGGAAAGACTGATGCGCCAGATGTAAAGAAAGGTAGGGGAGGAGGTAGGGGAGGCGGATGGGCGAGTGGCCACGGACGGCGATTGGGGACAGGCGGGGAAGTTCGGTTCAGCGTACCTTGTAGAAAAGGAACACAGGGATGCACTTGCCGACGTACTCGCGCATCATGGGCAGCCTCTCCGCGGCGATCTGGGGTGGGTGGGTGGGTGGGTGGGTGGGTGCGAGGAAATGGTGGGGGAGTGATAAGGCACGGAGGCCGTGAGGCGGCTGGAAACAAGTACGCCCCGGAGAGTGAAGTACAAACTTAAAGCGGAGATATGATGCTCATCCTGATGCATAGGGAGCAGTGAGCGGTGACAGGACGGTCAGAAAGCATCTGGGGCACGGTACGAAAGACCTCTGCCGCCTGCCTGCGCGTGCCCAGCGCGGCTTTGGACTCCACGGTTCAAACTGATCCGTGCTTGCTGGCCGCTGGCCCCAAGAAAGCCGCGGAGAGGACCAGGGCGTGCAATGTCATGTCAAGACGAACATGCGAACTCACCGAGTAGAACTTCAGTGGCCTGTCGTTCAGGTCAAAGTATAAGCGCTTGAATGTAGACTGCACCGCTTTACATGGTCCACACCAAGACTGGAACACTTCGATGACTGCAAGTAATTGCCGTCGGACGATAGAGCAACGCCACAGCCGCAAGAGAAACAGCACATTAGCTTCTGTAACATGTAGCTGATTCGACGTATTGTAGGTGCGTCAACTATGAATTGGAACAAACCTTGTAACGTCCCCGGCGTGTCAAGAATTTCTGTCTTAAATTGGGCCTCACTCGTAATTTCTGTAACAAACGACATTTGTCCTTGTTTAAAATGCACTCAGATGGTTTGTTGCATCGTCTGCAAAAGGCACTTCCTTCAAAGGAAAAGTAACACTTAACGTATAACAGCAGTAGACGGTCAGAAGGCAACCTCATTGCTTGGACCTGACTCGAATGGTTTTGGACGTACCTCTCTTTCTTGTGTACGGCATCGCGGGAGGCTTTCGTGGCAGGGCAATTCACAGGCCAATGGCCATGGGGAGCAGCAAGGGCTTTTCATTTGGACAGAAATGGATGCTCCTTACGCTGATGTTGATGATGACGAGGAGGACTACTTCCGCAACCTAGATGCTTTACTTTCTAGCCATCAAGCTCTCAAATCTATCTTAGGGGGAACCGTCAGCGGCCAGCCTCAACCGCATCAGTACACTCCCCATCAGCCTAGCCGGGCACCCGCCGTCCGTCAACCGCCCCACTCCAATGGTGACCATGATGAGTCAGGCAGCGAAGGTATTGAAGGCGACGATGACAGCGAGTATGAGCCCAGCAGCGAGCCGGAATCTGAATCTGCATTGGAGCAGATGGAAGCGGCAGAGGCTGCTGCGCGCGGAGTGCTCGATGCGGAGGCCGACATCGACCAGGTGCGCGCTGTGTCTGCTTGCATCAGAGCTCATCACCCGATAGTCCCCTCTCCACAAGTCGCGGCGGGGAAACCCGTTCTCTCACTTCTTTCGTGGGCTCGGGCTCGTCTGGCTAAACGAAGTCCCCTCGCCAACGTAGCTCCATCGAAAATAAGCAAAGACCCATTTCGCGAGGTGCCAGCCCTGAAGCATCTTCCCCCCTCCTCAACCCCACCGAATCACCCACGCGCCTCTGAGGCCTCCCCACCTCAAACGCACACACACGCACATACACACAGAGAGACAGGAACGTGCGAACTCCCCCAGGCACTATGCCGCTCAAACATACACGCACACACAAGCAACTCCACCACCACCCGGTTTCCCCGCCCCCTGCGACATCCCCCGCCCTCTCCTACCGATACACGGCATCCTGCCTACCTGCCCAACCCCCCTGCGGCCCCCTCGGGGCCCATCACCGCTCCCAGCCCCGCTGCTCTACACCCCTTCCGCCCCCCTCTGCCCCCCCCTGCCCCTGTGGTTCGTCTTTCCCCCCCGGCCCCCGCCTTTCAGCTGGTGGGTGAGTATGTGGGGGACGGAGGACGTTGTGGATGGACCACCTGCGTTAAACCACCTGCCATAGGACTGTTGATCTAATCTTGGCAATGTACGGTAATGTACGGCATGGCAAGGGAGTAAGCAAGGCGGCCGCGCGCTCGGACGCGGGCGGCGGCGGCGGTGGCCCGGGTGGAGCGGTTTTGTTGGTTGATGGGAGGAAGGAGCAGGAGGGGGAGAACAGGGGGATTAGCCCTCTTTCGACTTCTCCTCGGAAGGGGAAGGAAGCCACACTCTCTCTCCAGGGGGGTTCTGCGAGGGAGCTGACCCGGGAGAGGGGGTGACAGGGTTATAAGGGTGTTGCAAGGGGGCTTGGGCCCAGTGCGGTGCTACTGCTACTGCTACTGCTAATGGTGCTACAGCTCCGGATGGCCATGCTGCCGCTGGCACTGCATTGCTAATACCAAGCTACTGTCCGCCGCCGTAAAACGTACCGCTTTCCCCTCTGCTCGTGTGTATGTGTGTGTACGACTACTTCGTTACACGCCGCGCGACGCACCTGACGGTGGCGGCACGTACGGTAATGGTCTGCAAGGTGACGCCGATGATGCCGGCGGCATCGCCGGCGGTGACAATGATGGTTTCGAAGAGGGGGAGGGGGAGGGAGAAGAAGACGAGTGCAACAACGGTGACGACGGCGGAGGCGGTAGCTCTGATGCGGATCGAGACCTAGAGTCGTACATTGTACGGCCGCCAGGGGAGGTTCTGCCGCCAGGCAGCCGCCTCGAGCGTCTGTACGCCGCTCTGGATACGAACCGCGAGATCCAGGTGGGTGGAGGCTGTACTGCGGCAAACCCCTCGCCCTCAACCCCTCCCCTGCGCCTTTCCCCCCCCCACGTATGGCTCCGGGTTCCTTCCCTGGAGCTCGTCCTCCCGCTGAAACCCTAATTTCCCCCCCCCCCCACACACACACACGCGAACTCTCCCGCCACACACACACGTACGAACTCCCTCCCCGCGCGCTCCCCCAGGGGTCCCGCTCCGTCCCCCGCAATGCTTTGGACCCCTTCAGCGGCTTGGAGTGCTTAGGACGTATTGAACCTCCTCCCCCAAGTCTCCCTCCTGGATCATTATCCTGGTACTGCCAAACCCCCTGAGACTTGTAGCTGTGTTTTGTTTAACAACCCCCTTTCAACCACATACACACTCACACACCCACGCATGTGTTTTTTTCTACTTCACCCCGTCCCCCCCCCCTCAGCGCCAATTGTCGCTCATGCTGGAGCGTCTCGACATGCACTCCAACACGTCGTACTTGTTGGAGCGGCGGGTGAGGGAGCAGAAGGTGGTCACGAAGCCGCGTACGGCAGAGCAGCGGGCGATAGGTGGGTGGGTGGGTGGGAGCAGGATGGGGTGGAGGTGGGGTTTCCCGGGGTTCGTGTGGTGCCGGGTGGTCTCGTGGTCGGGGTGGGGTGGGTGTGGGGAGCGGGCGGTGCAGCGATATGTCTGCCGTGTGTGTGCGTGTGTTGATTATTGTGCGTATGTGAGGGGGGGAACTTGTTGTGTGAGATGTCCGACTGGAAGGAGGAGGAGGAGGAAGGGGAGGAGGGCAGGCAGGGGTTTGGTCCTCCAGGATTTGGTGGAACGACGCTCCGATTTCGCTTCCCGGGTCACATGCCCCTTCGCCGCAACAACCGTGTCGTACACCACTGGCCTTTGGTATACGTTGCTACGGCGGTTGTAGTTACCGTTGCTGTTGCCGCGTACCTTCCCTCAGCCGTGGTGCGTTCCGCCGCGGCCCAGACCGCTGCCGCGGCCGCCGCCGCCGGTGTTGCGCTGCCCGCGGCCCCCCAGCCGCCGCAGACCAGTCGGTTCTGGCGAGTGGCGGGCGCGTTGCCGGCGCCAACCTCGGAGTGGACGAGATTGGCTGCGGCGCAGCAGCTGCCGCTGCGGCCGTACGACAGGGTGCGCTGGCCGTTAAGGTGCGTAACGGCGTTGTACGACATGTGCCGCCGACGGGTATGAAGGTCTGGGAGGGAGTATTGGCTTGCAGCCAGACGGAGACGTTTTCGATACCCCAACATCCGTAGGCATGCGTGGCGTGTAGACAGACATGTAGACAGACAGACATGCAAACATATGACACACAACATGGAGGGATGCACACGCGCTGCATCGTGTGTGTGTTTTGTTTTATGTACGACTTACCCCATGCAGATTCGTGGACGCGCTGAACAAGGGTCTAACGCTGGAGGTCCAAAGTATCCTAACTAAGCAACTGCTGGACCGAATACAACAACAGCAGCAGCAGAGAGCCGCGGCCGGGGGCGGTGGAGGTGGTGAAGACAGAGCTGCAGGACGCGGCGCGGCGGCGGCGGCGGCGGCGGCGGACGGCGCCCCCGCCGCTGGCGCTACCGCTGCTGCTGCTACTGCTGCTGGTGCCGGCGCCCTGCCCACCGACATGCAGTCCCTCCAGGAACAGCTTCAACGAATCGCGGTGAGTGAAGCAGTGAGGGAGGGCGGTGGTACTTGTGGAGGTGATTGATGGTGGGTGCATCGGTTAATATATTGATCGACTTTGGATTTCAGGAAGAGGAGGGGCTTACTAACCCATGGTTGCGACCCATGGGTCGGTCGGTCATGATCGGTGATTATTTGGCTCCTTGCTTTTCTGCAAGACCTACACACGCTTGGCTGGTCGGGTTTACTCCTATCTCGACTCATCAGATGCCCCAACCCAGCCCCTCCACATGTGTATGTCGTACTTTTCCCCCTCTCCGGATGCGCCCCAGCGATTTATCCGATATAAGCCCCCAGTAGCTACTAGCCGTACGTAACCCCCTGCCCCCCCTCCCTCCCGCAAGTTGTATCTGATAAGGTAACGCGGGGAGGGGGGGCGGTGGGGGTGTGGTGAGGCGCTGGCAGTTGATGAAATTGCGCATCGTGCAATGTGCATCCTGTGATCCAGTCACACCTCCTCGCACCCCACCCACCCCTCTTGCTGCAGGCTGGTGCGCTTTTTGTTGCCGCCCCCTTTTTTCATATTCCCAACCCCCTACCCCTACCACCACACACACGTACACAGAACTCCTATCACCTCCAGGGATGTGCCCACTTGCGGCCGGGGTGGGTTCGTCCGCCTGTCCTTCCTTTTCTCACCTCGCGCCCCTCCCTCTTTGCCCCCCCCCGGTGCTCCCTCCCCCCCCCTCCCAACTCCGCCCGGTCAGTCTGTACGTCCAGATGGCCCGGAGGCCATCCCCGTCATTTTGAAGCTGGATGACGAGGCCTGGGCCCGGGTGGCGGCCTCGCACCGAGTGGGCCGCTCCGGAACCGAGTGTGCCGCGTACTACCGACATAACTTGAGGCCGGGGCTGCAGTGGCCGCTGGAGGTGAGGTGGTGTGTGTTTTGAGGGGGGGGGGTTGCGGTAGGGGGTGGAAG